GAGTGGTTGGAACATCACTGCAGGTCTTTACTCGCCTTGGAGTGTTTGGAGAGGCTCTGAGGGTGTCGTGCCTCAGTTTACCCAGCGAAAAAACATGTCCTACAGTGGCAGCAGGACACATGGGGTTGTCTCCCAAGGCAGTGCAGAGACAATAGGAGCCACCGCCTCCTGGCCATCCCCCTGACCACCCAGGAGGGAGAAATACTCAGGGGGCTCCAAGGACTATTTTATTTTATTTTATTTTATTTTATTTTATTTTATTTTATTTTATTTTATTTTATTTTATTTTATTTTATTTTATTTTATTTTATTGTATTTTATTGTATTTTATTGTATTTTATTTTATTTATTTATTTATTTATTTTGAAAGAAGCTGTGTTTAAGCCTGAGTTTCCCACAGGTGTGCTGTTCAGCTACAGATATTTAATAGGGTCCTGGCTAGGCAGGTGCTTGCTTGGCCTTTCTACCCTGTAAAAATCCTGTCAAGCTAAATAAACCTCACCACAATGAAATTGCTCTTCAAACCAATGGCACATGGGAGGGCAGACCCAAAAAGAAAGAAAAAAAAAAAAAAGTGTCCTGATTGGTATCAACTTTTAGCGCAGGTTTAGCACAGAACGCCTGCCCTGGATGAAGTGAGCTCAGGGCTGGGTCCAAGCCTAAACCTCCCCAAATCACTCCAGGGACTTGCAAGGAAAGCAGGCTGCGGGGAGACGGGATTGCATTTGAACGGCCACGAGTGAATGCGGCTCCAGAGCAAACATGAGCTCGGATAAACCAGGGAGGGTCTTTTGCTGGCAGAAAATACAGTAAACGTGACACGAGATTTACGTGCATAAGTAGAAGCCCTGACTTAACTGCAACTCTGCAGCTGTGCTCTTATCTGACCGGAGGAAGAAGATGAACAACAAAAGGGCCTAAGAAGGCCGGTTGATGCATGGGAAAGCCATTGGTTGAGCATTGTGGCTGCCCTTCTGCTGAGCAAATAGTTCAAACTGTTCATTCCCATCTCCTATTCTCTCCCTGGTACATTGTTTGTGTCCTTGCATTTCATTCTGCAAGGAAGATTGCTCTCTGGGCCTATAAGCAAACAGTCCAGAAAAGAGCCAACTATCCTCCTCTTTTCCCTGGAGAACTAGCATTTTTATTTCAGCTCCAAGCTGTCAGAGAGCTGGAGAGTTTATGTCAGTATCCTGAATTAATTGCTTTAAGCTGGAGCCGCCTATATGAGCCACCAAATGTCCAGAAGATGTTTATTAATAATGTTTCCTCCGTTTTTTTTTTTTTTTTTTTCCAAGCTGTGCTCTCATGTCCCATGCCCTCTGCTCGCCGGCTCAGCGGCATGCCTGGCTCCGGGCGCGGGTGGCTAAATGAAAGCTGCTTATAGGGAATTAATAAAAGCTTGGGATCTAATTGCCAGCCCCAGCTCCCACTGTGCCTGTGCCTGGGTGTTGGGCATGGTCATCGTGTCAGACATTGCACATCCAGACTTCCCAGACACGGGAATGAGGGAAGGAATAGGAGTCATTGGAGGGATGGAGGGGGAGCAAGCCCTTGTTTAAACACAAATATCTTTGGTAATTAGCAAAAGTGGCAAGGAAATTACTGATGGGGGAAAAAAAAAAAAAACATGTGGAAGGTAAATGGTTTTGTGTTTAAACACGATATATTTTAAAGTGTTCCCCTGTGTGAAAGTCCCTGTTTAAGGGAATGAAGTAATAAACCAATTTATATACCAAGAGAAAGTCGAGATCCTGAGTGCCTTTGTGTAAATTTTCCACTTGACTTTTCATTATCTACCTGAACAAAATCAATCTATATGTATGGGATCAACATGCAATATGAGAGATAAAAGACAAAATAAATGTGCTTTGCATATCCCATAGATAAAAGCCACGGTGCTTCGGGCTCTGCCTCCTCTTCAGGCAGATGCATTTGAGAAAAATAAATCATTTTCCAGAGGAAAAGGGAGCAAAGCAGAGTGATAGTTCTTAAGTGTTTACTCCTTCGCTTGAAATATTGATCCTGCCGAATGAACGGCGGTTAATAAGTAACTCGGGGCAGGGGGATAGCACAGTGTCTCTTCTTGCTCAGTGCTGCAGCAAGGGCTCCTCCTTGTCCCCCTCCTTGAGGCCCCTTGTTGGGCTCCACAAGGATGGGGGGTCCCATTCGGAGCACTGTAACCCCACAGGCCATGGGAGGTCTCTGCTGGTTTGCATGGAGCTCAGGTGGGATCTTTCACCTGTTCCACCACCAGCAGCCCAGCAGAGGAGAACGTGCAGCCAGGCCAGCGGATGACGGGCCAAGCAGGGTGAAGGTGACATCACCGTCAACGATGGCACCTAGGGACAGAGAGCTGTTGCCCGTGCCCCAAGCAACCTCTAGCTTGATGAGGAGATGGAGAGAAAGCATCCGGACTAGAGTCCTGAGCCCTTCAGGAGGCCACAGAGGCACAAATAGAGGGGGATACCAAGACCCATGGCCAGGTGGCTGGCGCCAGCACGAGCCCTGCTGTCTCTGCTTGTGTCCCCCTGGTTCCCACTGCCGTGGGTGATCTAACCCATCATGGTGCAATCATTCCTGACCTGAAAGGATGCCCCTCTTCATCCGCAGGAAGACTGCTAGTGCAAGACAGTGGATGGACTCTATTAAAGTGGGTGAAATTATATTAAACGGCGTGGCTAGCAGCTGCTGTGTTAATGACAGCAAAGAGCTGTCCCTGTGGTGCTGTAATCCAGGCCCCTGAGAGCCCCAGGCACGCACTGCAATTTGACTCTCATCCTTCTTCCACCCACTTCATCTTCCTGGACTTGGCTGCAACCTGGCAGCATGAAGCTTCCAGATCTCCATGGGTCCACATGTCTTGGAGAGCAAGGTAATAGCACCCTCACTTTTATATATATTCTTATGTTTATATATATATAAAAAAATGAGGTAAGGATGCAGGAACTGCTCATTTTTGTTTCCCTCTCCTCCTCCACCCGCCTTCCACCTTTTGGTAACAGGATATAGGAAAGGTTAAGAGGCACTTCAGGAGATGCATTCCCACTCTTGAGTACAGTGGATCCTTATTTCATGCGGAGCACCACCCCCGGAACACATCACCTGCCTGATGGACATCACCTCCCAGAGCTGAAAGCCCAGCTCCATTAGGAGGGATGTGGAGCACCCACCTTCCCCAGCCCATTTTCCTTCCCTGGAGGGTCTCCACCTAAGCGATTTGAGCAAGGGGAAACTGTAGGAAAGCGAGGAAAGGCGAGCAGCTTTCCTGAGCACCAGCTGTGCCTCGCTCCAGAGTGGGCACTGCAAGGTTGGACATGGGCACCTCTCCAGGCCAGGAATTGGGCACCTCTCCAGGCCAGGAATTGGGCACCTCTCCAGGCTTGGCATCAGGTTTCACCTTCCTTTACCAGGTTGGGACGGACCAAGGCAAGGACTTGGTGGCAGAGCCGGCCCCGGGGAGGAGACTGAGCTGCCTCTCCAGACTGACGTCTCGGAGGATCCTCCCTCGGACCRTGCCCATGGTTTGCTTGAGCTGCTGGGTATATTTCCGCTGGCAAGCAAGTTTTCCAGGTGAAACCAACGAGATTTTGAAGCTCTGTTCATGGCAAGGTGGTTCTGCACTTCCAAGCAGAGGAGGAAAAAATAGTACTTGAAAAAAAAATCTATTTTCTTGTTTCTTTTCCAACCCTTTCCAGTCTTTTTATCTTCTGCTCCCCCTTAAATTCCAGACAGGGAGGGAAGTGGGGAGGATGGTGAGAAAGGTGACATTTCAAGGATTAAAACAGGGGTGAGCTGACAACTTTCCAAAACCCCGGAGTTTGTTGGGAGGCTCCACACTGCTCCTGCAAAATGGGTCCTGCTGTTAGCGCAACATCTGCAGCAATTTTATTGGCTTGTTAACGACATCTCAGATTGGACCCAGGGGCAGCAGCAAATTCTGGCAGCCTTCAAGGCAGCAGCAGACTGGGAGGAGATTCAATCCAATGGTTGGCGTTAGGAGTGCAGGATTCAGGGTCAGGCACTTCTGTTGGATCCTTAGGTTAAGATGTAGGAAATCCCCTGTTCATTATGGCATGTGCAAAGCTGGAGCTACCATCACCGTTCATGTCCCTCAGGTTAGCCTGAGCTCAGGTGGATACACTGGAGCTGACTCTAGAACAACCCTATCCATTCCCTGCCTTGCCCCATCCTTTTTCTTCTCACCCCAGCGGGACTGGGCCCCAACTGTCTCCCTGGAAAAACACTGAATTCTTGGGAAAGAAAATGGAGACAGTTTCCAGTGGCTGTTCTTGCACCCTTTGGTTGTCTCCTGGATGGCACCAGAGGAACTGCAGATCTTGGGTGGGGCTCCTGTAGGCTCCTGTAGGCTCTACAAAGGGGACATTTTCTGGGTGATGTGATGCAAAAAAGACCATGCTGGGCAGCTCAGCAGAGCTTATGGGAGTCCTGTCCATGGCACACCCATTTCTCCCCACTAGCAATAAAAGTACTCAAATATAATCAATTATGCACCATGGAGAACATGAGAGGAGCTGCTCTTCTCCAAGATAGGACACGAAAGAAAACCTTCAGCAGAGGAAGGGGCTTAATCATCAACACGGTGGCATTTTTTAACTGTTGAGATTTGTCCTCCTCTCCAAAGCCAAAGGTGTCTGGGGTAGATAATCCAGTGTTAACTCAGCTGTTGGTGGGGTAGTGTGAGCTTAGGAGGCACCACTCATTCCTTGCTCACAGCATTGATCTTTCAGCACTTGCCCTTCCTGAGCTTCTTCTTCCAGTGGGATAACAACAATGTACATACCTTGAAAACTCCACAAATTTATTCCTTTTTCTAATTGTCTCAAAATGTTTTTTCTTTTCCTGCAACCTAGAATGATCCATCCTGGAGGAACACCTCCCTCAACTTCCTCCAGGCCAGGGTGCTCATGTCAGGGGTTTTGAAGGTAACACAGGTATCCCGGTAACAAATATGGACACAAAGAGGCAACAGGAATCTGAGGATTTAATGGGATTTAATACGTACACAGCAACAACATACTCAGTGAATCCCAGATCTACACCAGGACCAATTCTTTCGCACCATTCTTAAAATGTACAAAGGACAGTGAATGCAAATATAAATGCACATGAATAAAAAAAAGAAAGAAAAAGAAAAAAAGTGACCATTTTGCCCAAATTCAGAAAACTATTTAGTGAACACAAGAGCTTTGCAAGGCCTCCGAACTCCTGCTATCTTCAGCACTGGGATGAGAAGTGTGAACTCAGCACTGGTCTCCTCCACACTGCGGGGCACTCACAGAGCCATTCCAGCTGTGGGGGGAAGAGGCTCTCTGTGTTATTGCTGGGGCAACTCTGCAGCTCAAAAGCCTGGGGAAAGCCCATGGAAAGCCAGTCCATTCCCAGGCAGGGGCAAGTGTATTGCTCTGGCCTTAAATCAGCAGGACTGGTGGTGATGGCCAGTTTGGTCAGGAGCAGGAAGGGGCTGAGGGTAAAGATCTTGCAGCAACAAGGATGTAGCTGCACAAATCAGTGTTGCTTGTGGGAAACTGTGTCTTTAGAGAACTTTTCCCCCATTTGCAAGGAGCAAGGGGCCACTAGGGTGACCGGCACCTAACCACTGAGGGACAGCAGCACAGGAGTGCAGAACACATGCTGGCAGCTCCAAATGAGCGCTGATCACCCTGCATGTTCCAAAGCCTCCAGGCAGTAGTTTCTAAATGTGGTCCTTGCTGGAACATCTGCGTGTATGTATTTCCAAAGTGTCCTTTCCAGCAACTGGCTCTGACTCCTTCTCCAACCTGGAGGCATCAGTGCAAAATCTGTGTCCTCTGTGAGTCCCCAGGAATCAGCTCAGGTGGGCTAGCACATGCACTTCCAATCGCAGTATATAATGCAGTGCAATATAACACATGATGTATAATTATAATGTAGTATAGTATAACATGCGAACAGCAGACATAGGTTTTTGTACCATGCTCTGTTGCTTTGCAGCAACACCTCTTTGGGATGCTCCACTTTGCATTATTCCTGGCCCAAATAACTTGCCTGCAAAAGGAAAGATCACCTCTGGTTGAATTGGGCCAGGCAGGGACCTATCTCGTTTCCTCTGCCCTTCCTCATCTGCTTCCATCGAGGAGAAAAATCTCCACAGGAAGCTAGTTGGTGATCAGAGCTCAGTCGCTTTGGGTTGATTTGCATTTTGTAAAAATTATTCCTTTTTTTTTTTTTTTTTACATTCAATTTCACGCTCGGTGACACCTGTAAATACAGCAGCCAGCGCTGCCCCGGGATCGGCAGCTCCAAGAACCAACGTTCAGCCTCCAGTCCCCCTGCAACCCTGGTCGCTCGTTGCCGCCCAAAGCCCCTTCCCCGGGCTCTCCGGCAGGTTTTACATCGTTTCTCCTTTGCCTCGCGTCTCCTGCTGGCCCTCGCTCCCCAGGATGCGCCCCTACCGCGCGGCCGCTGCTCACTCCATGTAGGAGCAGGAGTGGGAAATAGTGGGGCTGGACCTTGGCTCTCAGGGCGCTCCTCCCGCTCCGCTTCCCGCTCCTTGCTTGCTGCTCTCTGCCTGTCCGTCTCCTTTCCTCGCTCCCATCCCACACATCGCTTTCCCTCGGGAATATCCCCCTTTCCATTCGTGTGCCCCGGTGGCGGTTCGGGGAAAGGGATTTGAAGCGGATCGATGCCGCCCGTCCCTCCGGGTCCCGATYCGAGCTGCCCCGAGTCGATAAACGGGAGACAAACACCCCGACGTGCGCACACCTTGGGCAGTGAGACGGCCGAGAAGGGGAGCGAGGTGGGGCAGAAGCGCGAGCCGCGGCGGCGGGCAGCGCTAAAGCGAGGGCTCCTGCTGCGCTCCGCCGCGCAGACTGCTCATCATGCGTCTCTGCGCCCCCCGTTCCGCGCAGGGAGAAACTGAGGCAGGGGAGGCGCAGACAGAAGGGTGTGGGGGAAAAAAAAAAAAAAAAAAAAAAAAAAAGGAGACGAATAATTAGGCTTTTTCAGTAGGCGCTTTGCTTTTTCTTATGCTTTTTTTTTCCCTCTTCTTTCCTTTTTTCTTTTCTCTTTCCTTCCCTTCTTCCTTTGCCTTTTCCACCCCTTTGCTTTCTCCTTTGCTTTGCGCTGCGGCTCCCTGTTCTCTGCTCCTGTGCGCGAAGAGGGTCAGGGAGCTCCGATCTGCCCCTCACTCCCTTTCCAAACCACTGCAGGGCTCCCCCCGCCTTCCCCCAATCCCAAGAAGTTGTAGTTGGGTGCGATTTAATGCGGAAAACCGACGTCCCGAAAAGACGGGTGTCTGCCCTTGTGTGTGTTGGCCCCCAAACTAACTCTTCACCCCACAAGTGGGTACAGAGCATGTACGTCCGAAAAAAAATAAAATAAAATAAAATAAAATAAAATAAAATAAAATAAAATAAAATAAAATAAAATAAAATAAAATAAAATAAAATAAAATAAAATAAA